GTCTTAGAGGCCATCTTGGGCGTCTTGGAGGCCTCTTGCATCGTCTTTGTGCCCTCTTGGGGCCGTCTTGGGGGCCTCTGGGGCCGTTCTGGGGCCATCTTGGAGGCCTCTTGGGCGATTTTGGGGGCCTCTTGGGCAGTCCTGGGTCGTCGGAAAGCCGAAAAGGAGCAAATACGAAAAACCTTTAAAAACAAACCTGAGGAAAATCAATGATTTTAGCCTCTTCGGGCCCTCCTGGAGGACCTCTCGGAGGCCTCGTGGGCCGTCTTGGAGGCCTCTTGGGCACCTCTTGGGACGTCTTGGAGGTTTCTTGGGCGGACTTGGAGGCATCTCCTCTTCTCTTAGGCCGTCTTGGAGGCCATCTTGGATCACCTTGGGCGAACTTGGAGGCCATCTTGGCCGTCTTGGAAATCATCTTGGTGCGGTCTGGACGAGGAAAAACCTTTACAATCGGGTTTTCGGAACTTTTCGGGTGGCCGGCGGGACGGGCCGAAGCCCCAGGGGGAGTTCTTTTGGAAGAAACAAAACCAAGACCGAAATGATATAGCACGCCGAGCACCCCTGTGGCAAGCCAACAGGGGGCGGCGGATCGAAGACGCCTACGGCGAATCACCGCCGCCCCCTGCCTTTTTGGAAGCGCCTATGTGGCCGAACGTTGAGGCCAGACCTGCCAAGCTATCGGACCACGTGTTCCCCGAATCGGTTTGGAAAGCCTTCGGGGAACACGTGGGCATCTTGAAGGTCATCTTGGCCGTCTTGGAGGCCTCTTGGGCAAGCTTTGGGCGATCTTTGGGGCTTTTTGGGCCGTCTCGGGCCAGCTTCGAGCCAACTTCGGCCATCTTGGTGGGTTCCTGGCACGTCTGAAGCCGTCGGAAGCCGTTTGGGGGGCCTCTATGGGCCGACTTGGGGCCCGCTTGGAATGCTCCAGGGCCGTCTTGGAGGCCATCTTGGGCGTCTGGGAGGCCATCTTGGGCGTGTTGGAGGCCTCTTGGGCCCTCTTGGGGCCCTCTAGGGGCCATCTTGGAGGCCACTTGGGCCATCATGGGGCTCTCTTGGGGGCCTCTTGGGCGATCTTGGGGGCTTCTTGGGCCGTCTTGAGCCGTCGGAGAGCCGAAAAGGCGCAAATGCCAAAATCCTTCAAAAACCAAGGGAAAATCAATGATTTTGGCCTCTTCGGACTCTCCTGGAGGACCTCTTGGAGGCCTCTTGGGCCGTCTGGGAGGCCTCTGGGGGGCCTCTTGGGCCGTCTTGGGCCGTCTTGGACTCTCTTGGGCCGTTTTGGAGGCCGTCTTGGACCATCTCGGGCGGACTTGGAGGCCATCTTGGGCCATCTTCGCGATTTTTTGAGGATGTCCCGAGCGAAACGGCCGTTTTTGGGCATTGAGGATGGGTTTTCCGAAATTTGCGGGTGGCCGGCGGGACGGGCCGAAGCCCACTGGGGAGTTCTTTTAGAAAAAGAACCAAAACCAAAACCTGAATCATCCAGCACGCCGTGCACCCCTGCAAGCAGGGGGCGGCGGATCTGGAGGCATTCGGCCCATTCCGCCAGCGTGCCTGGGCTGTGGCTCAGAAGCCTCCTGGATGTACGGTGGGATCTCCTGAGAAGCGTCGCTGGGGCCTTCTGGAGGCAGTTTGGCGTCCTCTGCACGGCTGTTCGGGGGCATCTTGGGGACTCTTTTGGGGCTCTTGGGGTTCTCGTCGGGGCCTCGTGGAGCCCTTTTGAAGGCCTCTTGGGCCATCCCTGCAGCTTTTTGGGGCGGAGAGCTTGAATTTTCGGTTCGTGGTCCCCTTTTCGGTCCCCTGTTGGGGCCTTCTTGGAGGCCTCTTGGGCTGTCTTGAGGCCCTCTTGACCCGTGTTCGGGCCCTCTTGGGTCGTCGTGGTACCTTCTCGGGGGTCTGACCGGCCGTCTTAAGCCGGTTTTGGGAGCCTCCAGAGCCGTCGTGGAGCGTCGGAAGCCCGAAAAGGCGAGACAGCCCAACATTTTAAACAAAAACACCTGCAATTGAAGGATTTTGGCCTCGTGGGGCCCTCGTGGGAGGTCTCGTCGAAGCCTCTTGGGGCGTCTTGGAGGCGCCTCTTGGGGCCTCTTGGGGCTCTTGGGGGTCTCGTGGGGGCGTCGTGGAGCCCCTTGAGGGCCTCTTGGGCCATCCCGGGAGCCTCTTGGGGCGGAGAGCTTGAATTTTCGGTTCGTGGTACCTTTCTTGGCCCCCTCTTGGGGCCCTCTTGGAGGTCTCCTGGGCTATCTTGTGGCCCTCTTGACTCGTGTTCGGGCCCTCTTGGACCTTCTTGGGGCCTTCTCGTGGGCCGGTTGGGCTTTCTTGAGGCGGTCTTGGGAGCCTCTGGGGCCGTCTTGGAGCGTTGGAAGCCCGAAAAGGCGAGACAGCCAAAAACCTATGGAACAAACACATGAAAATCAACGATGTTGGACTCTTGGGCCCCTCGTGTCTCTTGGGGCATCTGGAGTCATGTTGGGCCGTCTGGAGGCCATCTTGGGCGTCCTGGGACGACGTTTCGGCGACTCGGGGCCTTCTTGGATCGTCTTGGAAGTCTGTTGGTGCCTTCGTGGCCCGTTTTCAAGCCCTGGATGCCCCCACGGCAGCATTTCTGGAGCAAAGGAGCCCCGCCCGGGCGGATCTGATAGACCCCCCCCCTCCAAATCGACCGAATCCGGCTACTGGGGGAGGGGTTTGGGGAGGGGGAAACGTCTCACACGCCGATGAGCCCCAAGGGGTCGGCGGATCTTGAAATCAGCCGTGTGCGCGGCGGGTGCTGGCCTCCCGCGGCGTCGGCCGATTGCGGCCCCCCCCGTGTGAAATACTTGCGCGTGTAAATCTTTATCGGACCGTACGTCTCCAAGCCTAATGGAAGGCCTCATCATTCGATCATCTTGGCACGAGCTATATCCTCATCTGGTTGAGGCGAGAGTCTGAATTGTCGCATGGACAGCTCCTACGAGGCTACAGCCATACTGTGGACACTATCGCCGCATCGAGCAGTGGGCAGTTTCGCAGATGACGACTATGCAGCTCCAAGTCTGCGCGTTTGTAGTTGTCGTGCGTGTTCGTATCATTACGAGCGTGGTATCAAACTGGCGCAAGCACCGAACAGTTCCTCCCTTTTCGCTTCTTCCCTCTTCGAGGCCGACGACGAAGAAGACCCTAAGGCTCTGCCGCACAGATCCGCAACAGCTTTCAGCGTCTGCAGGCCGTCCATGCTGGTATCCCTCTGTCTGGCATGGCATTGTCACGACTACGCACCTGGAGAAAATCAGCCGCCAGTCCGACCGCCAGCCCACGGGGAAGAAGACATTGGCCAGCCGAGGAACGCGAGAAAGCGAGCAGCAGGCCCCACGAGCAGGCTGGAGGACCGAGGTGAGGAGCCCCGGCCCTGCCGCCAAGGAATAAAAATTACACCAGAGGAAAGCCCCAATCAGTGGATGGTTTTCGCTGGGGAGATCGACCGGGAACCGGGGAGCCCAGGAACCCATGAACCCACCGAGATCGGACCGGAACCAAGGGAACCCGGGAGCCCGGAACCGGGAACACGGGGGAACCCAGCTTGCTACCGAAATCGGCGGGACGTTTTTTTTTTCAACTCCGGGGCCGCGGGGCGCACTAAGAGAGGGGGTGTGCTAACAGCAGGCTTGCCGCATGGAGGCTGGGAGAAGGCCCGGGGGCATCTGTGCAGAAGGACTGGGCGGTGGTGTACAGTCGACCCGCACAGCAAGGATAGGTATCCCTCCCAAGGGTAGCCTTGCATCCTTGCCTCCTCGTTGGGAGCAGGCTCGGGGGGCATCCGTGCCAAAGGACTGGGCGGTGGTGTGTGTGTGTGTGCGTGTGTCCACCAGGGCTGGACCTAAGCGGTGTTTTGGCGATTTCGTGAGCCGTTTTCGTTTCGACTTCGTTTTAGGATAAAGGATGATGGAAGACAAAACGAAGGAAAACGAAAGCAACACGAAAACGCAAAACACTGTTTAGTTCCAGCCCTGGTGCAAAAGGACTGGGCGGTAGTGTACCGCTTGTTTGTCCACGGTGGCAGAAGCCTTTTTGTGCAGTCGGGGCGCTGAAGAAGGAACCCTTTTCGCTTGGGCGGGGCTCAGAGTTCCTCAGTTGTGTTTCAGTTCGCCTTAGGCTTTTCTCAGGGTTCCAATGGGCAATCAAAGTTTAACTTATGGGAGAATTTAGCCTCGTTTCTTATTTTACTTGGTGGTCCTTGTGTTCATGCCCTGACAGTGTGCGTTCCCACGTCTGCGATCTCGGAGTTCGGTACAGCACACATTGGTTCGTACGTCGCTGGCTCCCGTTTGGTTCTAGTGTGCCGTCATTGCTTCGTCCTGTATCTCCTCGGCCTCTTCCTGGGGGAGTGGACGTGAGGCTTTGGCCACCGGCCTGCCCTTCAGTATTGTGTCGAAAGCATCGTCGGAGGAGGACAACGACGGCGAGGACGACGACGACGACCTCGCTGATGACGACGGCGACGACGACGACGACGACGACGACGACGACGACGACGACGACGAGACGACAACGACGGCGACGACGACGACTACCCAGGCATCCGACGATATGACATGATTTTGCCGCTGCGCGGCCCCAGAGGTCCCGACCCCAGCCCTGTCGCCCCTTTCTCGCGCTTCGGATTCATTTTCGATGGTCCTGGGACCCGATACTGTCGGAGGCGACGATAGGGGCGAATAGCCCAGGGGGTAGCAATACACGTATTCAGGTGCGCCGACGACCTATGTCTTCGAAGAGGCTCCTGGGCGAATACGTGTAATGCCCGCCCCTGGGCTATTTGCCCCTATCGTCGCCGCGGGTACTGGGGCCCGGAGGCCCACATGGAAGAACAGCCTGCCGGATTGCAGCCCTCACGCCGTCAGAGGTTTTCAGTGCGTCCTCGGCGACGACGCCGACGTGGACGGCGACGGCGACGACGACGAAGTCTCCCGCCGGAGCGGCGGCGGCGGCGTCCCCCCCCCGCTGCCGGCCTCGGCCGCGAGGCCCCGCTCCGAGGAGCGGGGCGCGCGGGGGCGGAGCCGCGGCAGGGCGCGGGCCTCGCGCAGGCGCGGGCGGGGAGCGGCAGGAGGAGCTGCGAGGAGTGCCGTCGGCCCGGATGGGTAGGGCGACCCTGCCAGCGCAAGTCGGGCCAGACGGAAGGACTCCTTCCCTCTCGGGTCGGAGTAGATGGGGTCGGAGTAGATGGGGTCGGAGGATCGCGCCGCATCGCCGATGCATCGCCGATGCGGCTCGATGTAGGGACCGATTTGCTTCAGGTCGACGTCGCCAATGCATCGCCGACGTCGACGATGCATCGCCAGTGCATCGCCGATGCATCGCCGATGCATCGCCGATGAATCGCCGATGCATCGCCGATACGGCGCGATCCTTCGACCCCATCTACTCCGACCCCATCTAGGAGGCCTCTAAGGAGGGGACTGGGACAGGGGGGGGTGCGAAATCTGCTGCATGCCGCTGGTTTCGGCCCCGCCGCTGGGCCCATTCCTCGATGCATGGGCGCCTCCCGGCGCCGGGAAAATCAGCTACGCGAGCTGATTCTCAAACGCTTCCTTTGCTATCCCCCCCTTTCGCCCGGCCCGATCAAGGGTACCCTTGTGTCCTGTGCCTCACGACACGTGCCTTCTTACACTCCTCTGGCGATGTGGCCCTCGGAAGGGTCTTGTGTCCTCTCGCGTGCCCTGTCCAATCAAAACCGACTGTATCCACAAGGATGTTCGCGGCTCGGTCGGTTCGGTGGCGTCGCAGTCGGTTGCGTTCGGTCGGTTCGGGTTGGTGGGTTCTTGCGTCGTTGCCGCGTCGTGGCGCCCTTCTGGGTTGCTGTCGTCCTGTCGATTCAGGTTGGTTTCGGTTTCGGTTTCCGCTTTTGCTGTCTCCGTGCGCAACCTTGATCCAGGAGGCCTCGCGCGGCGCGTGATGGTTGCATTATCTGGTCCACACGTCCGCCCTATCAGGCATGGGACGACGGTCGCGCGGCGAGATTCTGGCGTCAGGCCGACGCAATTTTGACGTGATTCCAATGTGAGTCCGAAGCGGGTTCGACGAGATCCGACGTAAATTGGGTTTCAACTTTCCGCGCGAGGCCTCCAGGATTTCCCTTGTCAGAGGAAGGAGGGGAGAGGAGGCGGATGCGTCAGAGGAGGAAAAGGTACCGACACTGCTTCCCTTCCCTCGTGTTCGCCTTTTTGGGCATCCTGGGGGGCCCTCGTCGCCACAGCTGAATTCGCCCCGAAATGTTGGTCAGAACGCACCCCTGGGGAGGTCCGGGGCGACTATCGACGCTCGATCCATACCCCTGCTGCTGCCCCCCCCACCCTGGGCCCTGGGGAAGCAGAGCATCGACAGGACGCTGGGCTCTGGGGGCCAGAGTTTTGTCCATGCCGCTGCTGGTGGCCCCTCGTGGGGTTGGGGCGTGAGCAGGGGCATGGGTAGCATTTCGATCGCCTGATGAGGAGGGAGGTGGGGGGGTTGGATGAGAGGGGGAACGGATCTGGGGCAACGTCAGTGGGGATAGGCTCAGGGGGGGGGATGCATCGGCCATCAATCGCCCAATCGTCGCCGGTAGGGGCCCGATAGCCCGCCCCGCCTGGGAGCATGCGGATTCGCTATCGGGGGCCTACCGCCGATCTATCGGCGACGTATCGCCGATTCGGTCTCTTCCAGCTCGATGTTTTTCCTCCCTGAGCCTGTCCCTCCTAATGTTGCCCCGCATGGGGGAGTAGCGAGGCGAGGGGGAGGGGGAGGAGGAACAGCAGCAGGAGCAGGAGAAGGAGGACATGATGAGATTAGCGATGAGATGGGAGAGGAGGAGAAGGAGGAGGAGGAGGAGGAAGAGAAGAAAGAGGAGGAGAGTTTGTTTAGAGCCTATCAAAGCCTCTCAGTGGCCTTTTCAAGCGACTTCGAAGACGTCGGGACCGACTGAGCGATCACAGATCGATCAAACTCAGAATCGTTTGGGCCCATCTAGACCTCTCGGTGGTAATTGCGTAAGAGGGTTCACACGAGAGTTAACCATCGGACCGGAACGTCAAATCTGGAGTTAACTTTTCTTGGAGTGCAGCGCTAATAGCATTTGTGCAGTTGTTCAATTCGGACCCGAAGAGAACGCCTGAAGACCCAGGAGAAGGACCAGACGAAACGAGGAAGCCCGCAGCGTGTGCGAGGCAATAGCACTAGATCAGAGCTAGAGAGACAAGGGACCTGAGCCGGAAGCTGCAGGGCAAGAGAAGCACGCACCCAGAATCAGCAAGTCTGCAACACTAGAATTAAAAACAGCCCCTAAACTAGACAGGTTGGCAGAGCTGGAATAAAATGCCTCGGGAACCAGGCGCCCAGCAGAGCTAGAACAGAAGGTTCATCACCAGAAAGCCTTCGTATCTAAAAAACGAGCCTGCATGGCCTGAGGGCCAGCGGCCCCAGACAAGGAAACCTTCGGAGCAAGATAGCCGGAAGGGCGAGAAAAGGGTGGCTCAAGAACCAAGGGTGGCTCAAGGCGAGAGAAGGGTGGCAGAACTAAAACTGCAAGACCCAAGCATCACACCCCTGAGCAGCCTGACAAAAGGTCGTCCATAACGTGAAAGGCTGCAGAACTGGATGGGAAACTGCGCAACTTGGGAAAGTAGGTTCCGATAGCGGGAAGCCCGCTGGGCAAATCAAAGAAGTGATTCCGCCTCCGAACGTGGCCAGTTTCAGGGCGAGACTTTGTCGAGTACAGGGCCCAGGAAGTGGAACGAGCATGCGCCGCGGAATTAGAAAACAGGCGTCCTGGCCGCCATAATTCTGCGCGAGAGGAGCGCTTCAGACCTATAGAGAGCTTGAATGAACTGTATTCAACCCTTTCCAGTGGTAAAGTACCGTAGGTACACTTACACAAAAGGTGAATCCAGATATCGTCTTGTTGAAATCGTAATTGTACACTTTTCCCTCCTCCTCTGGGGAGGAGGAGGGGGAGGAGGAGGAGGAGGGGGAGGATGAGGAGGGGGAGGAGGAGGATGAGGAGGAGGAGGAGGAGGAGGAGAAGGCGGATGGAGGGGAGCAGACGGAGCAGGAGGGGGAGGAGGAGGAAGAGGAGGAGGAGGAGGAGTTGGAAGAAGGTGATTAGTGAGTGCACAGTGGGGCTTCCTGTTGGTGAGCCCTGCGTGACCCGACTGACTGACTCCGCCGTGTCGCCGCGCGCACGGCCGCGAGGCCAAGCAGTGTGCATCTGTGTGTGTGTGTGAGGAGGAGGACAATCAGGCACGGAGGATGGGGAAGGGGAGAATGGAGGAGGAGGAGGAGAAGGAGGAGGAGGAGGGTTGGGAGTAGGAAGAAGCATCATATAATGTAGAGCAGAAGTGAGGTCGAAGGAGGACGTGCGATACTGCCCAGATTGAGCAGGATCAGGGGGACAAAGTTTCGGAGGGCCAGATTGAGAAGCAGGATGGGGAGGGGGGCTGAGGATGAGCCGGGAAGATGGGAGAGGAAGGACGGAGAGGGAGGGACCAGGGGGCTGGACGGAGGAGGAGGGGAGTCGGGTGGAGACGAGAGGACGAGAGGCGAGGGGGGTGGGGTTCTCGCGGAGGATGCACCACGGAGGGCGCAGGGGTGGCAGCCGAGAGGGAAAGGGGGAGGGGAGAGGAGGCATGCGCCGTGGGGAGCAGGTAGGGGAGCGGGGAGCAGGGAGCAGGCGAGGGGGGGGGGGGAAGAGGTGGACGCAGGGAGGAGGGTGGGAGTCAGTCGCGGGGGGAGGGAGGTGGGAGCAGGGGGGAGGGCGATGCGAGGGAGGGACAGGGACCGGGGAGGAGGTGCGGTTGAGGGAGGTGGTGACGATGGCGGAAGGGCGAGGGTCAGGAGGGGCGGAGCCGGAATCGGGATCGGCAGAGTCGCGAAGAGTCACAGATCACCCTCTGGCCCGTCTCAGAACCCGAAGATTCGGAATAACATTGCCTCGAACACCGCACTGTGAGAGACGAAGGGTCACCATGCATTGGCTTGGCGCGTGTGCAGCACGACGGGGCACTGCGGAGCGGGGACGAGGGAGTGGGGGCGAGGGAGGCGGAGCGAGGGAGGAGGGGCGACGGAGGGGGGACGGGTGGCAGGACGAGGGAGGGGGCCGGAGGGATGGACGGTCATCCACAGGCGGGGGCTCGTTTCCCAGTTGTTCTCGTGCGCCCCCCCCCCCTCTCTTCGATGAGAGAAGCAGCAGTTCGCCCCTGCCCTAGGCAGAGTTTGTGTTGGATGGAGATACGGGGGCACGTGTCGATGCACAGTACGCCCGAGGACTGTCAGCGATTGTGGAGCATGCGTCTACACCAAGAGCCAAGGGCGTTCGTGGGCAGTGTGTGCACAGTTCCTGGTCTCTCATCCCTAACTCCCCTCATTACCACGGCTTATTTCCTGCCCCTCCGCCCTCTTCCTTTCCCACCGCTCATCCCCCGCTCCCTTCGCTCCATTCCCCATCCTGGCTTCCTCCTCCTCCTGCGCCTCCGTCTTCCTCCCTCCCTCTCTTGCTCCTCCTCCTCCTCCTCCTCCTCCTCCTCCGCCTCCTCCTTCCCTTTCTTGTCCTCACCTGCTTCTCAACGTGATTTGTTCCCATCCACGTCTTACCTTCTCCTCCTTGCCTCCTTACCGTCGTTTTCTTTTCCCAGTCCCTCCTGAACTCTTTCGCCCCCTCCTCCCTACTCTCCTCTTCCTCCTCCCCTTCGCGTAGTGTTGCAAGTGTCCACGGGCACTTTTCTTCGCCACGCGCTTGCGGATGATGACACGTATGTTTGCCAGCGTGGATTTAACCATGAAGTTACGCTTATGGCGGTCTCGGTGTGCGTTCTATGTGGTGTGTTTTATCGGATATGCTACAGGTGGTGCAGCATATGTTGTACAAATCATTCTAGACGTTTCGCGTAACCCCACCACCTTTAGCCGGTGTTCACCCCCGCGACGCCCGTCCGCGTTTGCCGCCGCCCCTGGTGTGCCGACCGCGGATCGCGCTCTTGGCCGCGCTGCAGCTTGGCTGCTCCTCGCACTTGTGCATTCTGCTGCGGCTGGCCCCGGCCACCCTGGTACTTCGCAG